ATTTTTTAGGCTTTAAATATGCTACTTTAAAATTGCCCAGCAACCCGGGCAATGATTTCTCGGCGAGTACTCCTCCTCCAATTTTTACATTAAACAATGGATGAATGTATTTTGTATACTTTGGCTGATTCCATGCTTTTACACGAGCGTTGGGATCATTTTTTACTCTGTGAGCACTTGTGTACTGAAAATATTACGAAAATTACCCAAGTCAGTGTCAGAGACATATGTACCAATAGGGTCTCTTTTGAAAAGTATCTCGATCAAGCCGGGTGTGATGCTATATTTATGCTTTTCATCGAGTACAATAAATTTGTCTCTGAATGATATATCAGAGTTGCCAAACTTTAGCTGATAACTATTATTACCAGATCCCTTTTTAACACCCGTCGGATCGAGTATATTGTTTAAATCTCGTCCTGATTCAAGAATTGCTAGATATAATCGTAAATATCCCATGTCACCGTGTTCCGATGAATCAGTTTTACTGACTTGTAGCGGCGGTAGCGTCTCTTTCGCGTCATCGTTCGACCCAGCAGCTACATCTAATTTCTCAATGGCAGTCGAATTATCCTCTTCGTTTTCTTTTTTCTTTATATCGAGTAGAACGCTCTTACTCCTTTTTATAGATCTATCTTTATCGAAGTCAGCCTCATTATCGTCGGCGGTCAGATCAACCAATTTATGAAGAGGTTTTGTTATTGGTTTAAACGTATCGGATATTATTTTTTCGAAAGTCTCATCGTTTCTCTTAATCGAATTGTATTTTTTTTTAACTGCCTCGCGAGCCTTTATTAATTCATTTAATTGGTCCCTATGGCGTTCCAGACTATTCATTATGGCTGAATGGATTATACTGTCACGCGCACTCGGTGTTTTTACATATTTATAGCGAAAGAATCAAAACCGCAGCGATATCGCCCTTTATTCATTTCGCTGTCTTTATCAATTACGACGAAGCCGTGTTTTTGACTCGCCCAACACTCGCAGCACAATTTTTTGAAGCGATCGAAGGTCATGTCGGTATTAACGTGATCGTTATAGATGTGTCTTATATTTGTCTCGTCTTGCTTAAAAATCACAATGAAATTTAAATTATCGCGTATGAGATGTTTCGGCACACGCGCGTACGACTGGGTTAAATAAAAGCTATCGACATATTTGTGGCGTCCCATGCAAAAAAATTCTTTCATCGTGGATTGATTCTCGCACGCAACATCGTCGAATATCATGATCGAATTCGCTAATGCCTCTTCGGGCGATACAACGCTTTCTCGATCGGAGAACGTAAAGTATCGCATTCCGTCTATGGGTTCGAGCACTTGTTCTAGGAAACGATACTTCGGCTGATACAGCGACTTTGAGTATACGTATATATTTTCAAATCGTAAACCATTGGGATGAGTTATCAGTGCTAATAAACAATTTGTCTTCCCACAGCCAGAGGGCCCAACCACAATACTACGAATTGAATTTGGCAGTAAAGAACCGTGTCTATTTTTTATCAGAGTTTTATCGGCGCCGTCATCGAAATTCGACACGGATAAACTCATTGACTGTGGGATAAACTCCATGGTGTATCGGATCTAAATGAATCAAATGATATAAATACCACGCATTTTATAGCGAGCTCATTAGTTTTACGATGTCTGGGCGACAGATCATCGAGTGATTATGTCCAATAAAAAAACATTGGTTTCAGGTGGATTTCTCGATAATATCATTAATAGACTACCGTTTGAAGTACACATACCACACTATAGCTTCTGTGGACCAGGCACACAATTAAACAAAAGAATACATCAAGAAGGCATTAATAGACTCGATCAGGCCTGTAAGCAGCACGACATAGCATACTCTATTCATCGTAATTCACGGAAAGAACGTCAAGCGGCGGATGTTATTTTGAGGCGAGCTGCTCTTGAAAGATTACAATCGAAAGACGCATCGTTGAGTGAGAAAGCTGCGGCTTTCGTCGTTGAAAAAGCCATGGGTGTGAAAAAGAAGACTGGCATGGGCCTAAACACATCGAAATGTAGCAAACGAGCTAAAAAAGTGAAATTTTCTTCGCTTTTTCAATCTGTGAAAAAATCGGTGAAATCTAATGGAAATAATATAGGTCTGGCGATTAAACGAGCACGAGAAAATATCAAAACCATAGGAGGCAAAAATAATATCATCATCCCAAGATCGCTACCTCTTCCGAAAAAAATTGGAGGCTTTTTGATTCCTACTTTTGCCGCCTTATCGGCCCTTGGTGCGATGTCCGGTGGTATTAGTAATATCGTTAAAGCGGTTAATCAGACGAAAATTGCCGAACGAGAGTTGAATGAGATGAAAAATCACAATCGCAAAATGGAAAAAATTGCCATTGGCAAAGGCATGTACTTGAAACCATTCAAAAAAGGTTTTGGCTTGGTTGTGAATGCACCTAAAAAAGTCGTCAAGAGACTGCAACAGCGTCGAACCAATAAAAAAAAAAAAAACTTCAAAAATAAAATTGCCGCTTCACGCTCTTTCTAATATCGAATTGGTGAAATTCGCCAAGCTTTTAAAAATTCCTCATTTTAGGGGTGTGTATATGCGAGATCAGTTGCCGAAAAATGGACCACGTAGCAGAGAATGCGCTATTGTAAATCTTGATAGCGCAAACAACATAGGCAGTCACTGGGTATCGTACCGTAAAAACGACGCAAGTGTCGTTTATTTCGATAGTTTTGGTGACTTGGAGCCGCCGCCCGAGCTCATGCGCTACTGGAATATTGATCGAGTGTACTACAACTATAAACGATATCAAAAATTCAATACGTACAATTGCGGTCATTTGTGTCTCAAATTTTTAAAAGGAGATATAAAAGTAGACCATCCACGAGTAATAAATTAGACGTACTCGACTCGTCATGAGAGAACGTTCATTGACTTTTACTCTTTCTGCAAAATCTTCCGTGCTAGAGTGCCAATTTTTTCCATTAATCGAATTGGGAGAGGAAAAAAATTATGAAATTGGCCTAGTATCGTTTTTTACATTCAATACGATTCCAAATATTACCGCTCGGAATAATAAATTTTATGCCGGTGGAGAGATAGTAGAAATACCAAAAGGCAGCTATGAAATTGCGGATATTGATAATTATGTAAAAACATGATTGTCCAAAAAAAATATCTCATTCGATCTTCGAATCGACGCCAATACGGGCCATAGCACTATTCGCTGCAGTGAAATTTTAGATTTTACTCCCCAAGATTGTATTGGAGAGTTACTGGGTTTCCGCTCGCGCGTGCTTGAAGCAAATACCTACCACTTGTCTGATTCGTGTGTGACGATTACTGGCATAAATTCGATACGCATAGAGTGTAATATTGCTTCGGGTGCGTATATGAATGGAGAAAAAGTACGTACCATTCACGAGTTCTATCCCACAGTCGGGTTTGGATATAAAATCGTTGAAATACCTCAAAGCATAATTTATATGCCGATAAATATTTCTACGATTGACAATATTCAATTGCGCATAGTTGATCAGAAAGGACAAATTATCGATTTTCAAGGAGAAACTATAACCGCGCGACTTCACATCAGATCGATTACGTAATGGGGATTGTTTTCAAGACAAATAAAATTGTACATCCTTATAAAAGAGAGACGCGATGCAAAGATCAAGTCAGTTACAACCGGGAACGCCCCAAATTAAGTGCTCAAAACGTCCAGTTTCTAAAATCGCTAGGTTTCTACGAAGCTGGAAAGAAAAAGTAGCTTGCTTTTGTACCTTTGTAGCAATCATATACAAAGTAGAGAAGAAGAAGAAGAAGAAGAAAATCGATAAAAAAACAAAGACACAATGAACGATGTATTAGACATTCATTCGGATGTTATCTTCGATGAGACTATTACTCACTATGAAATTCATGCTCATCAGCCGTATTCATCGTCGAGCTTCGATAATAACGATGAGATAAGAATCGCCATACAGCACCAAGAATTAAATTTGCTGCCATAGCAAAGCTACATACATATATTTGGAAGACTTTCGACCACCGCAAATACACCGGTGACTTCGACTCAATTGGTGAATAATGGCATATGTCATCTGTTTGACGAAATACGCTATGAAATCAATGCGATTGAAATCGATCGATGCAAAGCAGCTGGTATCACGACTACTATGAAAGGATGTGCCTCGTTCAGCTCTGCACGGGCGCATCGTCAAGAAAATGCTGGCTGGTGTAACGATCTATCGCAGCACCCGCCCGTCGCTGATGCTGCTGGAAATTTCGATGTGCATTTACCGCTCAATATGATTTTTGGTTTTGCTGAGGATTATAAAAAGATCATTGTCAACGCAAAGCATGAACTAATTTTGGTGAGATCACGCACAGATCTAAATGTGGTAGTGCAGTTGCGACCCCAGCCAGTCGAACTTGGTGAAAATCCGACGCAGGCCCAGCGCGATGCAGCAGCACGGGCGGCGCAACCGAAAGCATTCAAGATAACTTTGAAAAAAATAGAATGGTGTATGCCGTCGATACAACTTTCAAATGCTAATAAAATTCAGCTTCTCAAAGAACTGGAGACAAATCGACCTGTTAAAATAGCTTTTAGATCGTGGCAGCTGTTTGAGTGGCCGTCTATACCTGTGGCCACAAGACAACATGTTTGGGCCGTTAAGACCTCGAGTCAGCTTGAAAAGCCGCGATTCGTAATTANTCAAGGAGAAACTATAACCGCGCGTCTTCACATCAGATCGATTACGTAATGGGGATTGTTTTCAAGACAAATAAAATTGTACATCCTTATAAAAGAGAGACGCGATGCAAAGATCAAGTCAGTTACAACCGGGAACGCCCCAAATTAAGTGCTCAAAACGTCCAGTTTCTAAAATCGCTAGGTTTCTACGAAGCTGGAAAGAAAAAGTAGCTTGCTTTTGTACCTTTGTAGCAATCATATACAAAGTAGAGAAGAAGAAGAAGAAGAAGAAAATCGATAAAAAAACAAAGACACAATGAACGATGTATTAGACATTCACTCGGATGTTATCTTCGATGAGACTATTACTCATTATGAAATTCATGCTCATCAGCCGTATTCATCGTCGAGCTTCGATAATAACGATGAGATAAGAATCGCCATACAGCACCAAGAATTAAATTTGCTGCCATCGCAAAGCTACATACATATATTTGGAAGACTTTCGACCACCGCAAATACACCGGTGACTTCGACTCAATTGGTGAATAATGGCATATGTCATCTGTTTGACGAAATACGCTATGAAATCAATGGGATTGAAATCGATCGATGCAAAGCAGCTGGTATCACGACTACTATGAAAGGATGTGCCTCGTTCAGCTCTGCACGGGCGCATCGTCAAGAGAATGCTGGCTGGTGTAACGATCTATCGCAGCACCCGCCCGTCGCTGATACTGCTGGAAATTTCGATGTGCATTTACCGCTTAATATGATTTTTGGTTTTGCTGAGGATTATAAAAAGATCATTGTCAACGCAAAGCATGAACTAATTTTGGTGAGATCACGCACAGATCTAAATGCAGTGGTGCAGTTGCGGCCCCAGGCAGTCGAACTTGGTGAAAATCCGACGCAGGCCCAGCGCGATGCAGCAGCGCGGGCGGCGCAACCGGAAGCATTCAAGATAACTTTGAAAAAAATAGAATGGTGTATGCCGTCGATACAACTTTCAAATGCTAATAAAATTCAGCTTCTCAAAGAACTGGAGACAAATCGACCTGTTAAAATAGCTTTTAGATCGTGGCAGCTGTTTGAGTGGCCGTCTATACCTGTGGCGACAAGACAACATGTTTGGGCCGTTAAGACCTCGAGTCAGCTTGAAAAGCCACGATTCGTAATTATAGGCTTCCAGGCCAATCGAAAATCAAGTGCTTACCAAAACGCGAGCATGTTCGATCACTGCCACATAACTAATGTCCGGCTATTTTTAAATTCTCAATATTATCCCTATGGCAATTTAAATATCGACTTTACACAAAACCAATATGCTCGTCTTTATGAGATGTATGCCAATTTCCAGTCGAATTATTATGGCAAAAATTCAAAACCAATGTTGAGTCGGGCGCATTTTAAGGATTATATGCCGCTGATAATCATTGATTGCTCGAAGCAGAATGAATCTTTGAAGGCAGCGCCGGTAGATGTGCGCATCGAATTTGAGTCCAACGAACCTTTTCCACCCAATACGTCTGCATACTGTCTTATCTTGCATGATAGAATCATAGAACAAAATATTTTGAGTGGAGAAATTAAAAAAGTAACATAGACTCTCGTGAAAGCGGTTGCAAGTTAGTTATCAAAATGAGCTGCTACTTGCTAGACGTGCTTGGTTTTCGCGACAACGAGGACAAATTAATAGTCAAAGAAATGGCTTTGATGCCACTCCGCTGCGACGCAGAGCCTCAAACATGGATCTTCAAACCACCCTTTCATAAAAATCTGCTGGATGCGGATGTCCGTCGCTTGAACGAGAACACCTCATATATACATGGGATGAGCTGGGAGTCTGGTGAAATTGACTATGAGTGTATCAATGCTATACTTTGCGAGCATTTGAAAGACGCGAAAACAATATATGTAATAGACTTTACCGTTGCGCATTGGCTACGTTCCTATGGCTATACACATTTTTTTAATTTTTCGACTGTATCCGACTATGTAAATCATGTTATTCCTATGATCGAGCGCGAAACAAAGTGCTCACATCATAGCGATTCGTTTATGATAGATTGCGCCGTTAAAAATGTTAAACAAATGTTGGTAAATATTATGTTATATGGACAAAAAGAGCTACAACACATGCATTGATGTAAAATTAAGCAGGCATTCAATAAAGAATCAACAGCAAAACAAATTTCTCATTATTCCAAAACCCAATCAGAGCACACTAGCTCGAACACTTGATCCAGCCGCGCAAGGTGCATGGCCATCGAGGTGAAAGTATAGCAGCTGTACTATAGATCAAGATCGTCTTTCAACGATGATTGCTCTGTGGGACATCTCTCATGCATACATAAAGGCGCACCTTCACGCGTGCTACGCGTATACTTATGCCGCACATATACATCGTGGATATACTCACACACACAGTTTGTACTTCGTACATATGCTCTCATGCCCACACACACACACACACACACTCACATATGCCTACTACTACTATACCAGCGGGTTCGAGCTCACACCGCGCGCGCGAGCCCGCGCACATACACACACGCACACACACACACACCGCCGTAGGGCGTGGGTTCGATCCCCACCAGACGAATTTTCGAGGTTCGTTTTTTCGCCTGGTGTGGTCGAGCCTGTGCCTGAGGTGGAGCGGGTACCACTCAAAAAGAAGACCCGGGCTATGTCATCAGCCTCCGAAGCGGTAAAAAACCCCGATCACTGTGCGAGCTGGAAGCGATAGGACAACCACAAGTAGGAGCCCGAGGCGAGGACTCACAATGCTGGCAATAGATGGAGCACACCACTCCCATGATGAAGTCGAAAGCGAGAACTACACTCACAAGAGGGCGCCGGATGCGAGAGCCAAGGCTCTGGTGGAGCGCATGATGGCGCCTGAAGCGAGAACCACACTCACAAGACGGCAACAGAAAAGGAGGAGCACTCACAGGGTAGCGCCGGAAGCGAGAAACACACTCACAAGATGTAGCCGACAGAGCAAAGCGGCGGATTTGCCATCGGCTGCAGAAGCGAGAACCACACTCACAAGATGGCACTTGACATACTACTATCTAGAGAACGAATATTCTAGAACAAAGAACACATGGCGAATATTTCTACAACCAATATGCAATAATCAATGAATCAATGTTTCATTTAAGCGGTCTAAGACAAAAACCCACGCAATTCAAATGTCACAGTATCCTTTCCCTTCGAAGGCGCTTTCCCTTGCATCTCCAAATAAACAATAAAAATATTTTATCGTGTTGGTCATTTGAATTGATGTCGATATTCTTATTATTTATTTCTATCGTATCTTCAGTTACGAACGGTTTTATGATGGAAACATGTACTTTCGCTGTTTGTTTAAATTTTAGGTGTCGTATTTCATACATTACTGGCGATATTACTTTTATCACTCTTTACGGTTCTCTGTACCTCTGTCCAAGTTTCGATGCGTAATTATTCACTTTTGACGATAGAGTGTAATTTCTTCGTAGTACTAGGTCATCAACATTGAATTTCATCTCTTTATGTTTTCTATTATAATACTTAGCTTAATTTTTATTTAAGTGTTTTACATTTCTATTTACGATGTAGTATACGGTAGTTGTTCAACTCTGTTGGCCCACGCTTCTTAAGTCAATGATTCATACGAAATTGATGGATTTTCGAGCTCATTTATTATTGTTACGATTGTTTGCAAGTTTCTGCCAAAATTAAGGTACGTCGGCGAGAATCCTGACGAAACATTAATTGATGTATTAATCGACAATGCAAATTCCAGTAGATGTTGATCCCACAGAGTGTGATCGTGCTCCACGAAAATTGCAGTCATAGATGCACTCATGATATGCGGCGATCAATGTCAGTAAAATGCTGAGCTCTTGCATTCTACAGGTAACGGCTTTGTTTGAATATTCCGTACTATTGTCGGTTGGAAAAAAATTCGGACAACCCCATTTAAATACGTTCCTAAAAAGTACCGCGTATAACAAAACCGCGGATAATAAGACCTTGCCCTTATGCGAAAGAGGGGGTTACGGTCCTCGACCTCGAGAAAGCACAGTTTATATGTACATTTTACCTACAAATAAACGTATTTTTTGAGTAATTTATCTGTTAATTTATGTTTATTTATATTTACAACACATATATGCATTATTAAATGTTTAATTTTTAAAATAAACGCTTAATTTTTTCTGCTTTGCTCGTCTCAAAATATCTTCATGCATTTCTTTATAAATTTATGCAGCTAAATCCCAGTACTGTTTGAAACCCGAGCTACGCGTCATTATTGGATCATGAATCATTGCTAATTCACCTGCTCGAATAACTAGATCCATAACTTCAACAATCAGTTTTGAATCTAAAATTGGTGTAGGTGCATCATCAGTCTGATCTGCCGGTGGCTTTTGAGGCAGTTTTCGACGGAGTTTTAGAGAAAGTGGTTACGTTTCACACCACTAGGTGGCGTCTGCTGCTAGCGTCTCCCATAAGCGACTGAGCGCTGGTAAGCGTATATAGGCAGGCGTCTCCTATCGTGTGATTGATTGATGCAACAGCTTCTTAGAAGCAGAGTTGACACTCATATGAGCGAGTAGTGGTCGGTGAGCCATCACAGGTCGCCACGAAGCTCGACGAATAGCCGGTCGTGGGTTTACCCTAGGTCGCCGTGCTATTTGGAGAGAAAGACGGTCGCGAAGCAGTAGCTTTAGGTCGCCGTCGCTCGTCATACGAGTGACCAGCTTTACTTAGCGCTGTTTTTTTTGTAAACAATTTGAGGATTCTAAGAGTCCAAGACAATTGTATATACTCGGCAGGTCCGACAATAGAAGTTTATTGTCATTAAAGAGAGTCTGCCACATAACTTATAAAAGTTGTAAAAGTTATTGTGGTAAGACAAAGATATTTTTTTTTGTTAATTTTCTGAACTTGAAGCAATTATTAGTTATTTTTTGATTGAGTCGCCTTTGACTGCCATATTATATTATTGATATGATATTATTGAAATCTATACCTATTAATAAAGACTTGTATATATATTTTAATCACTTTTCTTTTGATTTTTTCACCCTTCCAACAGCACAAGCAGATCAAGTAAAATATTCGAACGAGGTTTATGTTTTTGACTCGTATTGCAAAAAACAGAAAGCCATAATTAAGGGCTTATATATACCTTAAAATTTTCAAAAATCGATTTTTTGTATTTTAGCCTATTTCATTGGAAATTTTCTCCCCTTTTCAACCCTTTTTCAAAAATGCGAAATTCGAATCCTATCAAAAGATACAAACGATTTACTGAACAAATCCATTGTATCAATTTGAGCGAATTCTATTATTATTTCGATTTTGTTATGGTCATGTTGGCAAGCGTACCCGATGCATATAACGATCTCAAATGATCACCCCCGCGTAACAATTAAGTAATTGGTATCACGACCCCCTGTTACCACCCTAAAAACTTAAATTAACATTCCTAATATACGTTAAACTTAATTAGACCAGTGTTTGATTCTTCACGCTACAAAGTACTCCATAATATATTTCTCAACGCAAATTCTAAATAAATAGCTGTTCTTTTAGTATTTTTCATTAGTATTCATTATTTCTTAGTATTCATATATTTAGTATTAGTATTTTTAATTTCATCTTAGACATTAGAAATAATAAGTTTAAATATAATTTATTTAGTTCAGAATTAGTTTATAAAATATTTATAAAGTAAGTTTATTATTAGTTTTTTTAATATATAATTTAGTTATTACCTTTTTTGAATATATAATTTACTTTAATACTAGTTAGTAATTTTTTATAATAAAAGTTATAGTTTAGAATTAGATTATTAGATTAGAACATTATAAGATTATTAGATATAGTTAATTAGATTAAAATTAATTTTATTTTTTACTATAATTGTTTGAATATTTATATTTTCTAGAGTTAGTTTAGAGTTAGTAGAATTAGTAAGAGTTATATCATGGAGCCTGCTTGTAAGCTAAGGAGGGGTAATCCTGATAAAAAAGGATCAATTGGGAGAAAACGAAATATTATTTTCAAGGTTAATCGATACACCCCAGCTCCTCAGAATCAAAAAAATATAGATGCTAAGGCTAGATCTTCTTTTGAAGCAGCTAAATTAGTAAAATCTGCTTCAAAATCTAAACTCAGCTCAAACCAATTTGATTGTGAAGTTAGTCCAGCACAGTATCGACTAGTGGACCTGAGCTTGTTACTTCCTTTCCTACAAAAAAATGTATTCTGTCAGTGTGGTGCAAAATTTGTTTTTGATGAGACATCCATCCGTGGTCTTGGATTTGAGCTGAAATTTGAGTGCACCAATAAAAAATGTCAGTTTTCTTCAAGTGTACTTTCAAGTAAGCTAGTTGGACCTAAAAAAAACATTTATGAAGTAAACAGAAGATCGGTTCTTGCCTCACGCACTGCAGGTTTAGGTCGAACAGGTCTACAAACAATATGTGGAATGATGGACTTACCTCAGCCAGTTACCCAACTTACATACCAGATTATCAATGAAAATCTTGAAATAGCTGCAAAGAAAGTGGCCACAGAATCAATGCAACAAGCTGTTGCAGA